AGGGAAAGCCCCTGGCAGACCAGACCGGTTTGTTTACCTTTTGCGTCTGCAGGTTTGGCCAATCGTGGCTCCCACTGGCCGCAGTTCACTGCTGCAGGCTAATGGGGGATGCGGGAAGCGGCGCAAGCCAAGAGACATACTGGCCTCCCTTCCCACAGCCCCCACTGACCTGGAGCTGCGAACCGCGGCCAGTGGGAGCCATGATCGGCAGAACCTGTGGATGCGGCAGGTAAACAAACTGGTCTGGCCCGCCAGGGGCTTTCCCTGAACAAGCGGCCGACTGGCTTTGAGAACCAGTGGCTTATTGCATAAACCTAAGTGTGCAACTATGGATGTAACTGCATTTATTCAGCACAGCCACCACAAAACACTGATACAAACTAAAGCTCTTCTGCCTGAATGTTCACTGATCACTAAAAAGTAGCACAAAAATGGTTAAAACAAAGAGGCATTCAGAATACTGGATGAATGAATATTCATGAATATTGTTTTTGCTTCATTTGACCAGCTCATTCACACTTAGATAGACAGAATGTGCATCACTTTCATACTCATATGAATTCCTATCCCAAAGGATCTTCTACATGTAAGCAGACTCAGGATGAGCTCCACCCTGACATCTGGTGGTGAGGTGTGGCAAGTTGTGGAAAAGAACTTCAGGGGCTGATCTCATTTGCATAGACACACCCACCCCACCCACCATGAGCCCATAGCTGCCCAAATGGTCACTTTGGCTGCTCTGGGATCCCCAGTGTCTCTGTTATTGGGGCAGGAAGAATAAATTGTTATTACCCTGATTATGGGAATCAAGGACAGTGGAACTGCACTTGGCCTTTTGTTATGATGGAGGGACTCGCTATCAACTAAGTAGCACTCGCTAGGCAAGGGACATGGGTTCCAAAACTCTGTGACTTGAGAGAGGTTGGGGACAGGTATTAATACTTGGTGGTATGCCCCCCTCCCCCGGTGAGGGCCTTGCGTGCTGATTGTACTTCCTCCTCTCTCCACTGTGGAATATCAGAGCTAATGTTGATTCTATTAGGAGTCTAGTTACAGGCTGCTGAGCTGAATTCCCTTTGGGCTAATGGTGCACTAGCACTGAGGCTCCCATAGTACAAGCTGAAATCACAAAAGAGCTAAACTTACTAAGAGCTGAAATAACTGAGTGTTGTGTTAAGCAGTAGGGGAGCCTGAAGATATATGGTAGAGCAGTTTGCGGAACGGTGAGTGGAGTGGCTGGTGGAGCAGAGCAGTTTGTTGGATGCCTAGAGCAGCCCATAGGGCGGCTGGCAGAGCGGAGTCCTGTGGAGAGGTGGGGCCATCAGCTTTGGACCACGTAAGGTGCCCCTTACCTCCCTTCCCCCCCCCGCCCCCCAATCTCCACCCAGGTTGGGAGGTAAAACTCTGCAGTTAAACTTTTGAACTCTGGGGCTGCCCTGACCAGGGACAGAGACTTTTGGGTCGTTGGACTTTTGGGACTTTGGGTGATTTGGGTTGCTGGGCTCAAGAACCAAAGGGAAAGGACATGCCCCAATTTGCTTGGGGTGGGTTTTTTGCTCATGGGTTGTGTTATGAATCCTCTTTGTGGTGTTTCCCCAACATAATGCCACATTGTTTCTCTCTGTTATTAAAAGGCTTTTTGCTACACTCAGACTATGTGCTTGCGAGAGGGGAAGTATTGCCTCTTGGAGGCACCCAGCGGGGGTGGTATATATTTGTCCCAGGTCACCGGATGGGGGCTCGAGCCTATTTTGCATTGTGTTATTGGAATGGAACCCCTAGATACTGAACCTGGCCCTTGTTGCTGCCAACTCTGACAGGCAGAAGGGTTACATACAGGCTCTGAATACTGGTACCATTCACTCACTTCTTGGGGAGGAACAGGCCTGACATTCTGGCAAGTACAATACATGACTTTGGCATAGGATGGGAAATCACGTTGAATACTGTATAGCATGAAATTGCAGGGGTGATTCTGAGAACACATCAAAACTTTTAACCCTGTTGGAATTGTCCAGGGGTCTGCTGGAGGCAAACACGGCAGTAGATAGAATGCTCTGGGATCTTTAACCACCATGAATGCTCAGGCCTTGGGTTAAAAGGCTGATTGGGAAGTCTGTAATATAGAGGTAAATATCTGAGACAAAGTGTCATTTCTTTCTTCCCTGACACACTTTTCAGAGCCAAGTGGGAGGGGTATTGCACTCCTCTCACTTCCTGTTGCCTTAGCAAAATTCAAGTGCTACAAGAACCAATCCTGTCACATTTGTTGCTAGAGATGTTGAAAATTCTTCTCCTTCTGATGCCTGGTAAGAACCCAGAACTCACATCCTGCAATGGGGATACAGCATCATGGCTAGGCACAGACAGGGGTGGCATTGGACAGAGGCCCCTTTTGTGCCAGGCTAATGTATCTCTGCTCCTTGCCCCCTTGTTCACAGAGGTGCTGAGGCTGAAGACTTCATCTCGCAGTGGCCAAGAGCAGTAATCGAGGAACCAGGGGAAGCTGTGAACATGAGCTGTTACCAGAACAACAATGCCCACACAAATATGTTTGGTACCAGCAACGCCAGAGAGAATGTCTGAAGATAATAGCCGTTATTTATACAGCCTCAAATCCCTTTTATGAGAAAGACTTCGATGAGAGAAAGTTCCCAGTCAGCAGAGAACACAAAAGGCTATCTGCCAAGACTGTGAAGAACATGAGAATGGGGGGATAGCTCAGTGGTTTGAGCATTGGCCTACTAAACCCAGGGTTGTGAGTTCAATCCTTGAGGGGGTCATTCAGGGATCTGGGCCAAAAATTGGGGATTAGTCCTGCTTTTGAGCAGGGGGTTGGACTAGATGACCTCCTGAGGTCCCTTCTAACCTTGATATTCTATGACAGCCAGGGATGCAGCTACCTATTTCTGTGCTGCCAGTGAGCACACACAGCTGTGAGCGGATCAGTGACTCAAGCAAAAACTTGCCCTCCCCTGAGTGAGAGAGATGCTGAGAGATGCACCTGAGATCACACTTCAAAACTATAAACAACAGCAGCATTGACACTGACACTAATTATGGAACTGAATCTAGGCACTCAGATACCCATGAGATTGGGTACTAGACAGAGAGTAACAACTAACAGGGGCAGCAGTCCTCCTGCATAAACTGTTCAGGACCTGAGGACAGAAATAATATTAATATTTAACAAATAATTGTTCCTCCACACACCTGTGTCTCTGGTCCATGTACAGTATTGTGCAAAGAGGTTAGTTATGGGGGAGTTAACATCTTCCTTTAAGCACTGGCTACTCTCACAGACAGTCCACGCTATCTCTGCCTGTGCTGCTGGAATTTAACTAACTCCCCATTGCCTACAGTGCATTGAATTCCCGGGAAAGGAGAAGAGAGTAGCTAGATTTCAGAGAAGCAGCATTGTTAGTCTGTATCCGCAAACAGAACAGGAGTATTTGTGGCACCTTGAGACTAACAAATTTATTTGAGCATAAGCTTCCGTGAGCTACAGCTCACTTTATGCTCAAATAAATTTGTTAGTCTCTAAGGAGTCACAAGTCCTCCTTTTCTGTTTGCAGAGTAGCTAGACTATCAGAATGGTTTAATATTAGCCTTCCCCACACTGGCCACTTGAGGGCAGTGTAGAGCTAACAAAACAAAACATCCAAGAGCAAAACCAGAAGAAGAGTCAACAATCTTTCTGACTGAGTCTATAGCTTCACCCCTGTAATATACAGTCAATTATAAAGTGTGGAGGAGAATATCTGAACACAGGAGAGATGGGGAGAGTCAGAGGGGAGGGTGTCCTTGTCTGAGAGTTTGCAGATGCAGAGATTATTTAAAGCACCAACATTTATCTGGTGTCTTCCATCTTCCTGACAGATCCTAAAGCATGCTGCATTCTAACAGTAGGAAATTCTCACCCACCACTAAAATATAGCCAAGACAGGGATGGAATATGGCAGCTGTCCTTTGCCAGTACTGCTGCAGTGTCATGTGACTTTTCCCTTTGGAACTGCCAGGGGGATCTAGAGAGGCAGAAAGAGATCAAGATTTGGCCAGGACACTGACTGAGCAGGAAACAGACATATCCCAGAATGCTCACTGTCAGGATCACACAACCCTAATGTAAAAATATTTTCACTGATCAATGTGAAGCAGCAACAGGCTTTGTGTAGAGGGAGAGGGGCCAAAGTCACACATTTTGCATCAGAATGTCTAACCACCACAATTCCGACGTGTGCAGATCTGGGCTTGGAGTTTTATCCATAATGGAATGAGAGGCAGTTGCACACTTCAGATCCACATCTGGACCCTGCTTTACTACCTCTCATATTTGCACTGCCTCATGATCATCAGTTCTGCTCCCTTTTGTGGTTTTACAGAGCTCCGCCTGCTAAAGGCACACAGAACTTTGTTCAATGGAAATGATCACTCTGGCTTGTCTTTGCTGCAGACGCAATGTGGAGGGCGTTGGGTCTCTTCCTTGGCTTCCAGCTGCTGGCAGGTAAGAAACTGTCTTTGATAAATGTTTTGACTCCAGGATGGTACAGCTTTACTTTAGCGTCTGAGATGAGAAGCAGAATGTGGGGAGGAGGGTGTTTGCTGCAGATGATGGAAGCTTCACAGGAGAAGGCTCCAGTACCAAACTGACAAGAACGTGTGAAGGGACAAAGGGAGGAAACCTTTGCTAGATGAATGGCGGAAGCAGGGAGGAATACGGAGGAGCTGCTTCCAGATGGCAGGAACTGGGCAGGAGTGGGCTTATGTACTGACTGTGGTAAGGTTGTGGGAAGAGACTGAGGTCAGGCCATTGATAGAAGTGAGGAGAGAGCAATACAAATATAAAGTCAGTGAGGTGATTAAACCTCACTCTCCATGGAGGCGCTGAAAATCAAAGGAGGAGTTTTGGAACTAGATCCTGAAATGCACAGAGACCTGGTGAGGTGTGTTCCACCCTCCATGGCCCTCATTCACCCTGTCCCCTTCACTCTCCTTTGCAGGTCTTTGCAGTGGGGTGACAGTGACACAGAAGGAGAAGTTTATAGCCATCCAGAATGGGAGCAAGGCAAGAATCCCATGTAAACATAATGACAACTCTTACATTACTGTCCTGTGGTATCAGCAGAAGGCTACAGAAAGGCAGCTGCAGTTAGTAGCCACCTCCACAGGTGTGAATTCATCAGACATGGAAAAAGAGTTCAAAAACAGATACAGTGTGGCAAGGCCAGAAATTCTGAACACCTCCCTGACAATCAACCCCGGGATGGTTGAAGACACTGCAGTGTATTTCTGTGCAGCTAGTAAAGCACAGTGAGAGCTTCATGCCTCACAGCTGTTCAATAACCCGCCAGTGCTGCTCATCCCTCGCAACCGACACACCTCAGGCCCAGCCACACACAGAAATAGTGTGACAGGGGACAGAGATGTCACTTAGCACTTAAGAACGGTGAGGGGTACCTAGCCTCCAGCTCTGGAAGCCAAGCCCTTTCGTTAGCCAGAGGCAGAGCAGTGCAAGCTTCCTTTCCCCACACACATACCCCCACATGAACGTGCTGCTTGGTCGCTGCTCTGAGGGCACCACAGCTGCAAGGGAGAGTGTCATTTGCCAGGGAGTCAGTCCAATGGACAGGGACTCCAGACACCGGGGCTTTGCTCCCACATCTACCACTGACTTGCCCCATGACCTTGAGCAGGTCACTTACCCTCCCCGTGCCTCCGATTCTCCTTGTAAAACAGAACAAATGATGCTCACCTGCCTTTGGAAAGTGCTTGGAGATGAAATCTGATAAGTGTTCATTAGCAGTGACAGTAGGAGTAAATTCAGTCTGTGGGACTTTGTTTAACTGACACCTGTCCCAGCTGGAACGAGGCTGAGAGCCATCAAATGGTTTCACACAGTCTGACAGACTGTAATAACTTGAATCATGATTTATGTGGGTACAGGTAGGAACTGTGAGCTAGAGGTGAAAGGTTCTGTAAACCATTCTCAACCTCTCTGCCCCCAAGGATCTTTGCCCCAGTATGTGCCCACCCTGCATAGCATCCACTGGTAGCTTCTCCACAGAGAAACACCAGTGGAAGAACTTGAATAGATTCCAGGAAATAAATAATGCCAAGAACAATGTAACTGGGTTGCTTGACCCAAAAGGGGTAGAGAGCCTGGAGCTAGCCATCACTCGCTACTGAATGATCCACACCTGGGAGATCGGGTGACTTCCCTGTAAAGAGTGGCAGGACACTGCAGGGCACTGGATGTGCTCAGGAAGCTGTGGCAGAGACTGAGGAAAGGCTCCTTCAGGGAAGACGGTGAGATCAGGGCAGTTGCCCCAGCTAGGAGGGCTAGCAGTAGCCTGCTGTGGCAGGAGGAAGACCCTGAAACCTAGGCAGTTTGGAGAAGTCTGAGGTCCAGTCAGGCTGGGAGTGGTGATTGACTTGGTGATCTCCCAGTGCTGGGGACTCCCTACCAAGCACAGAGACACTGAACAGGGGTTGGAGCCTGAAGGGCCAGTGTGTACCCAGAGGACTGAATAAATTGGACCCCAGGAGGGGAATGTTTTAAATTACCTTAGGACTTGGGGTGTGGACTTTGTTTAAGAAGCCCCTGAAGCGGGGGAACCAGAGCCATTGTGCGCAATTCAGTTCTTGTGCTCTCTGCTCAGATGATCATTTAGGCCTGTCACTGTGAAGTCACCGCTGTATTTATGTCACATAGACCCACTGACTTGCAGGTGATCTGTCTCTTTGCAGGGAAACCAAATCACTGCTCGCAAGGGCAAGGAGGAAGGTGCACAGGTCCCTCTGGCACAGCTGCTGCATCTGTGAGTGTAGGAACCTGGAGACAAATCACAAATGGATCCAGTCTATTCCAGGGGTAGGGGAGCAACGAGCCCTACAGAGCAGAGCTGTGTAAAACCCAGTGCAAGGGAATGTCCCTGCTCAGTGAGACAGAGATGGGGATGCACATACTTTGGTACATGGACATTTGTTTCATGGTAGCAAGTAAGTCATTGGCTGAGACATGAATCTCCATCCCCGTGTTTACAGGACATAGCTCTGGACATTTCTCACAGAGCCGTGTGTTTTACTGTCTCTGTAACTTGTGTTTTATCTCTTTTTCTCACAAGATGCTCAGGTGCTCGGATCAACCAAACCAGAGTCTGATGTCATAGAAGGGACACCAAGCCTAGCTCACATGTGAACAAACCTCTGGGCACAATTACATGTTCTGGTATAGACAGACTCTGGGACAGGGCCTGCATCTACTCATTTTCTCCTGTGACAAAGAACTAACAGAAAAAGGCAATGTCACTGATCGATTCCAAGCTAAAAGGCCGCAGACTGAGCTCCTTCACTTGGACATTGCACCCATGGAGCCAGAGGACTCGGCTGTGTATTTCTGTTCCAGCAGTCTAGACACAGCGCTTCAGAGTCACCTCCTCCCCCTGTAAAAATCTCCTCCCCCTGCTACTGCATCTCCCTTCCCAGAGAGGAGATTCTCCCTGGATCTCTGCTCACAACTGATGCAGGAAGAGGGAAGAGCACAGGAGAAAGTCATAGTCTATTTCCACTCTGTATTCCACCTATGAGAACGAAGGGAATGAGGCCCACACCTCTGGGTAAGAGGAAATGGGTTAGGAGTGCTCCCCTGGAAGAGCCACCGAGAAAACACAAACTCCCTGCTGTGAGTTCTACAATAAAGTCTGGGCTGATGGCAGAGCAAGGCCTAGCCAGAGTCTTCAGAGGTACTAATGTGCCAAGGGGTCTGCTTCAGGGTGTCTTGGTACATGTATAGCATTCATAGGAGTCCATATATGTTTGGACCTCAGCCTGCTTGTAAACTCATGAGAAAAAACAGGCAACGAGGAAGGAGGTCTTCTGGTGGCCAAGTGACCTGCCAACTGAGCATCACAGCGCAGCCATAGCACTTCCAGTCAGCGGCATATATGAGTACTCATTGAAATACATTGTCCGAGGGGTCCTCAAACTTCATTGCTCCATGGCCCCCTTCTCACAACAAAACTTACTCCATGACCCCAGGACGGGGGACAGAAGCCTGAGCCCACCCAAGTCCTGTCACCCCAGATGGGGGAGAGGGGGACAAAGCCTGTAACCTGAGCCCTGCCACCCAGACTAAAGCCCTTGGCCTTCAGCTTCAGCCCTGGGTTGTGGGGCTTCGGATCAGTTTTGGCCCTTGGCAGTGGGGCTCAGGCTTTGGCCCTGGGCAGTGGAGCTTGGGGTTTGGCTTCAGCCCCAGTACCCACCAAGTGTAACGCCAGTCTTGGTGACCCCATTAAAATGCGGTCATGACCACTTGAGGTCCCGACCCACAGTTTGAGAACCGCTGATCTAGACTATCAGGAATGTTCATTCCCTCTAGGACACCTGGCATTGGCCACTGTCAGAAGACAGGATACTAGAATAGATGGACCTTTGGCCTGACCCAGTATGGCCATTCTTATGTTCTTATGTAAATATCTTCTATTAGCCTTCCTGGTGATGGTCACCGGAGGGGGATCAGAGACGTGGGCAATCAAAGAGAAGCACTTGAGAAGACTTGAAGCCATTTAAATGAGATGTCTGAGGCCAGTGAGAGAGGGTGACAATGCTTGACCACATGCAGAAAGGTGTCTTCAGGAGTGAGACCTGCAGTATTAGAGAGAAGTTGCTGAAAAGGAGGCTGCAATGGTATGGGCATGTTAGGGAGGCACTAAAGACTAGAGTTCATGGGTGGAGAACAAGAGGATGGCCAAGAAAATGGTGGATAGACTATATATGGGAGTATGGAGTGGGCATGGGACGAGCACTGGACAGGGAAGCCTGGAAAAGACTGATCCAGCAACATGTGACCAGCTAGCCAGAAAAAGGGGAAGAAGAGACAAGAAAACAAGAATTGGTCTGTTGTCCAGTGTTTAGGGCACTCACCTGGGGGGTTAAAGATCCCTGTTCAGATCCCTTCCCCGCATCCGACAGAGGGGAGACTTGACCTTGGTGTGTCTCCAAAATCCCAGTTGAGTACCTTAACCACTGGCCAAAGGTTATGAAGGAGGTTGTCGTTCTCCTCCTTCCAACCCAATCATTTTGTGTGAAGCGAGGCATCCTCAGAACATGCCTACTGGCTCAGGCCCTGCAGGAGTGACAGGTGGCCAAACACCTATCTTACCCTGGATCGTTCTGGGCCTTAGGTGTTTAGGCACCTAAAGCAAGGCAGAAGTGGGTATGCCTAGAGGCAGAGAAACATAGGCACCTAGGGAAGGTTTACTCTGAAAACGTAGGTGCCAAGTGAGTTTAGGGATAGGCAGCAGCCAAGAAAGAGTTTTGTGCATCACAGTAGTACCTAAAAATGGGAGTTAGGCACCCAATTCCCAGATTTAGGTGTTTATGTGTACCTTTGTGGATCCAGTCCTTTGTGGTCAAAACACTACCTGATAAAGGTTTGGAATCAGCTAAATACTCCTTCAGGTTAGTCTGCCTTGTTAACCCCTTATATTGTCTTTATGAACTCCCAAGTGCATCACTCTTCTTCCTTGTCCCTCGTGTTTTAACTTCTGTTTTTTACAGAATGTGCTTCTTCAAAAAAGTCTTCATGTCTGCCTCTGAGATCTGAATCAGGAAAGTCACTTTATATTTCATCTTTCTTTGTTTCTCTTTTTCTTAGACTAAAGTAAAATAATCGCTTAGATTGAAAGAGCATTGAACTGGATTTTATGAACTGGAAAAACTTTACCCCAAGGACTGTCAATGCAGTAACTTTAAAGTAACTAACAGAGCATTAAAATTCCCTAAAACAATAAATGGATCAGAACCTAGGTGTGACCGGGGGTGCCCGGGGCAGCCCTCACTGGAAATGTCAAGGTCAGGGCAGCCTGCAAAAGGGAAAGCAGATACTCCCCAAACTGGTGGGTAACAATGAAGTTAAACCTCCCAACCAGTCGCAAACTGTGCTTCTGATCCCCCACACCGGTTATCAAGAAGCAAAACAAAACAAAACAAAACAACCGCACAGCCCCCTTTATTGCATTCCAGTCTCTGGCTCCCAATCAGCATCTAGGTCCAGTACAGTGAGAAGTTATTTTAAACTCTGCCGACATATACAAAATATTCTTCTGACCCCAAAGGGTCAGCCAAGTCACCAGGTCAGTATAGATTAGGATCTTACTCAAAATACCATGCTGCCAGCCAATCCTTTAGTATCTAAAACTAAACATATATTATAAAGAAAGAACAAGAGAGGTGTTAAGTGGTAAAGCAGTCACATACATACAAAGACTTCAAAATCCATATATCAAGTTCCTAGCACTAT